AATTTATCATATTTGATAAATACGGCTTCTGAAATGTTTTGCGTCTGACACCTTTCGCATAATTTAATGGTAAAAACTTTGCTCAAAATCCTATTGTACACAATCAGATATACCTGATAACAGAGGGCAGAAGACAACCGGTACACAAAACATAATCTTGACTTATCACATAGTAATAAATTATTAATATCAAAAATGTATTTCTGTTTTTTCTTTTTACACATTTTGTTAAAAGGCCAAATAAAGACTTCAAACAAAAAAAAAAGTAATTTTCTGTTTTGTTTTATTCTTGGATCGGGCTTTAAAGGGTTAAATCTATTGATTTATCAGTGCTGTTTTTCATAAGTACAGACAAAAATCAGCACTGATAAATTGATACATGTAAGGGGAATTAATAAGAAACTAATTTTTTTCCGACCACACTCCCCAGCCCATGTTGGTGCTTGTATCATTTCTGGTTTAGGAGTGGCTTAGCAAAAGGAATGCATCAACTGTCATCCATGTTCAGTAGAGGTCAGGTACAGGAACTCTTTTAAATCCAATTCCTCCTGCCATCCACAATTCGTAAATGTCCTGGTTTTCCTGTGTTGCAAGCAGGTTTTTATACTGTTCTTTTTCTTTCCACTCAACTTCCCTTTATGCTTAAATACAGCACTCAGTGCACAGTCAGCCCATTTAGCAATGACTCTTTATTCTTATTGTTGTCTATTGTAGCATTCCTTCCCCATAAGAAAACTTTCAGTTTGCATCTTTTGTAAGCAATAAACATAAAATAAAACAAAATTAAGACCAAAATAATGACTGATTCCTCAGGCAAAATGCATTATATAAAATAAAAAATGCAAAAACGTAAAATAGAAATAAATAGAATAAAAATATGTGAGGGAAAAAAGTTTGAGTCAGGTTTGGTGTGTAGCCTATCTGGCAGCAGCATCACCATACGGTTAGCCAAGTAACAGATAATGGAGTAGATCTACTTTATATAGATTCCAGGTGTAAAATATTCACTCTGAATACTTTGCTGTGTGTAGAAAATCTTGAAATTTTATAATATGTATATTTTTTCATTTGTCTTGCTGTAATAACCAATTTTTTGTTCATAATGTACAAGATACATTGGTTCCAATGTGGCTTGTTGGTAATCTTTTTATTAAGCCTGCATATATATAGACCTAACTATTATTATAAATATTTTTTAGGTCTATTATCATATTTTCAGCTAAAATGTCTTTTTCATTTTGCCTTACAGTGCTAATTCAGATACCAATCTTAAAGCTCTCACAGGTGCAAAGAGGAGAACTATTCTCCAACTATACGGCATCACAAACCTTCTGCTATGAAAGAGCAGGAGCATAGAAAATAAAAATAGAAGCTGGAAGTTGCACGGTGGACGATAAAGGAGCTGCAGCTGCATAGGCACGCATGCACCTATTCCACAAAGTGCAGAGAAACACGCATTTCCATCCATCCATCCATTTTCAACGTCTGCAGCTAGTACAAAATGCTGCTGCACGACTTTTGACAGGTACTCGAAAGAGAGAACATGTGACCCCTGTCCTGGCCTCACTTCACTGGCTGCCTGTATATTTTAGGATTCATTTTAAAATTCTTATGTTTGTTTTTAAATCATTGCATAATCTTGCCCCAGCTTACCTCTCTGAGCTTCTTCATCCCTAC